GTACTGTAGTTTTTCTTTCCAAATATTTAAAGTTGTCGTTCATACGTGATAAATTTAAAAATATGTTGGAGTATGCTAGTTGTGAAACATAGAATAACTACTCAATACTCTATAACTGTTATATTTATCCTCGAAAAAGTTCAACCTCAGACGGTTAATTACATTGTAAAGTCAAGAAAGAATTAAATAATTTCTAATAGAATCACACTCATTCCTGACAGTATGAATCTAAGACTTTTTAGAATTATGACGTTGATAAGGGTCCTAGTGGATAGATTCGTGATCTAACTTTATGTTTTGCTTAATCTGAATGTAATTTACATCGCAAATGGAAAAAAAATTTACTGGGAACCTAGATGCCTTAAACATGTACTTCTTCATTGGCAAGATTGTCCTGTCAAATCATAAATTGATTGGGGTTCAAAATGTAAATTATCACGTACCTAATAACTGATCTAAGAGTATTATATTGTTTAATGATTCATTGTGTTCAATGGTACTCCAGATGATTTTGTTCTGTCATGAATAGTATTTTTAAACCTGTTGTTTCTGAATACTATCATATTCTTTAGATATGAAATGATTTCTACGAACATATTAGATTAGCCATTTTGTTTAAATTAAAATGGTTACTGCCATGCTAATTATTGTAACTCAAAATGCTTTTCTCATTCGAGTTAAAATAGCAAAACTTTTAACGAGGCTTTTATATAGTTAGCTGAACAATTATGTGAGTATGTATAGTGTTATCAAAACTAATTACATTCATGATTTCTTTTACCGTTTTTTCTTCAATGTTTATTAATTCATTCTACATAATTGGTTATATTTTAACACATGTGTTATGGAAGGTGAAAAGCCAAAAGTTGACGTCCTTTGAAAAACTACTACTCACAAGGTTGTTGAAGTGCTGTTTCAACAGCAATGTATTCAGTAGGTCAACGTTTACAATATGTACACATTGACTACCTATTTTATTGCTTATTATCCACTTGTCTGCTTTACGTATGACAATTTGTTAAGGGTGCCTCTGTTTGCAGCCTTAGTTTTCAGCCTTCTCTGAAAAGTGTTCATAATATGATCATATTTCCCGACAAGCAAAACAAGAATAACCTTTTATCACTACAGATTATTCATTTGGTCAAATTCTTGGTATACATAATACATCTAAGTAAATGTTAAATGAATTTGAAGTTTTAAGATATAAAACGTATTGTGTTAATGAATATAAGCCTAATATATTAGATGCGTTTTTCCCAAGTAATGAAACATCACTCAGGTTTGGATATACTCTTAATTGTTTTTAGAATTGTTTTTGAATATGCTTTCTTTACTGATGCAAATATTTTAATTTTATGTGGAATGAAACTAAATAGCCTGGTAGGTTATAATGATCGATAAAAATTAGCAGATTTCCTAGACAAACAAGGAGGTGTCTAGTGAAATTAAATGAACATATTCGTTCAGCTTGAAATGGTTCCTGAAATTCTCTAAGACTTTAACTTCTATCAACCCAGAATTCGGGTTTTACTCAGTTGAATATATATGTGCGTTGTTACCTCTATTGAGTAATACAAGTGTTGAAGCATGGTGTTGTTTGATTTCTAACTGATCTAACTGTGATCGGAAAGTCCATTATTAAAGCAGAATCTTTTAACAAATTCATATCAAATTTCATATTAGTTGATGGATTTTGGCGATAAGTAATGTAATACATGTTAAATTCTAAGAATATCTCGGTGGGAGAAAGAATCACTCGATTTTTTAAAAATTGTTTTATTCTTATTATCTTTATTCAGTATTATATTTTTGGTACGACGTAGAATTCTCAGCACAAAGTATTTAAACAAGTTTCTATTTCTTACTTCTTGGTCGATACTGACAATAAATATTGAGCGATCGTCAGTTAGATGTTAGCAGTCCAGTCAATCGATATCTAAATAATGCACATTCATTTCGCTGCATATTATCAGTAATCACAGTATTTCTGATTACGCTTTTCGTAACTTGTACAACGAAAGGTTTTAAACATTTTTGAAACATACCTGAATAGGTTATGCGATTACTAGTCATAATGATGAATTAAAACAAACAAAAATACATAACTTGTTGAAATATCTAGATGACAAATACAAGTAGCCCAGATGTCCAAGGAGGCCTCCAAGTTTTTTTATGCTTTAAGATAAGAGAGGCATGAATCATAATATTATTACAGAGAATACTGTGAACTAACTATATTTTAATCTGAGTATATATAACTTCACAGACGTCTATGCCTCATGTTAAAACAAAAATGAGTTAGAGTGAAACATCAATACGAATTCTAAATTTTATTTAGAATTAGTCTATGAGTTGTTTTTTCAATGTGTGTTTATAAAAATGAGACTATTTTATTGAACATAATTGTTGCTAATACCGTCCAGACTAAGTTAAGAATCTTACACCCATTTAAAAAAAAACAAATTCTCAAGACCAGGTCTGTACAAAGAAAAATAACATGATTAATCTTATCTTTTATAATTATGATACCGTTTCAGAAAATGTGGGGGGATTTTTAACATGGATATCATACTGCAGTAATTATGCTTTATTCCCCGAGATACCTTATTCGTGATTTGTTTTGGATGATTCACTTTTTTTCACCTAATACATTTCTAACTGAATATAAACCATGTATTCTGGTGCATTTCGCATTTACATTGAAACATCAAAACATGGGCGTATGTAGTCAGCATTATTGAAATGTTCTGATGTAAGTTAGTGTATTTTAAATACATTATGTTAAAATTTAACAGAAAAAATTTGAAATGTTTATAACTCAAAGGAATATCCTGGTCTTGTATATTACTATTTTAAACTGGTTGCAAGTATTTAACTTTATTTTTGAGTTAGCTAGTTATAACCATTACAATAACGCCTTAACGATTAAACTTAGTTTAAACTATTGAGCTCGAAACAAAGTGGAAATCGATATGTTTTGCATAACGGAAACGTTAACAGTTTTAACGTTTCTAATCTTAATTTTGTGCGCTGACGTAACATATACAAGCTCTTATCTTACCAAACCTCTACAAATTATATTTTTCATACTCAGTAAACTAGTTGCTCATACATTATTCTGATCTGTAAAATGTTTAATTTTTGGTATTGGATCAAGGAGTTTATTGAACTTTCACAATTCCATACTCAAAATTATGATATCCTCTTTCATGGGTACTGACGAAATCTCATACTAGGATGAAATCACTATGCAATAATTCTGGGTTTTCGACGGTTGTCTAACCTAGATCGGTTTACAATTTCAACAAAATGTTTAACCATTTGCTACTAACACTTCTATGCTTGCGGATTTCTTCGATTCTTTCAGCTTTGTCAAGCAGACAATTATCTATCAATTTATTTATTTTTCCTTTTAATCTATCGATTGTTACTCAAATATCTTTTGACGCCTGAAATTTTCAAACACTGAAATAAAGATTCTTTTTTCTTCTTTCTAATAGACTATTTTATTTGTTAAATCAAAATAAACGATTGTATAGTATGAATAACTAATTGATTAAAGAAAGAAATTTTCTATTAAAGTTGTCTTTAACTTCTTCAATGGCGAAATCGGTGTTTTTGGTTACCATAAATATGTGTACAACTGTAAGTCTACCTTGTTCTGACTGATTACTGGAAAAAATCAAGGTAGATCCAAATTCATGATTTTTAAAAATTGAAATCAAGCGTTTAAACTAATTAAGCCATCTGTTGTAGGCGAGAGTCTGTAGATTTTATTCAGACTAATAATCATCTGATTTGAAAAGTGTGGTAACATTTGTTAAGTTATGATTTTAAACTGTACATTCAGTGGATGAATTATCTATAAAGCTTGATCCAGTCGCTAATCACTAAGTTAAGTAAATTTATGTTCATATATTGTTTATTCCAGCTTGCATTTATAACTATTCACTAAATAAATTGAGAATTTCTTCCTTGTAATCATTTAATGAAGTGTATATTAGAGCAGATATTTTATATGGAACGTCGCTGGGTTCCGAGTCTCTACAGAACTCATACGCTTGAGATAGTTTTCTGTTTCATATAATGACATAACTCTATGTTCACTTATAAATAGACGCTTTAGATTTTTTTTCTTAACTGGTCAACAAATCGCAAGCAATATATTACAGTTGGTACTTGCGGTTCAACACTCTTTTGACCATTCAGAAATGATGTTAATAGATTTTTATTTCAATCGTTGAACGCTGTTTTAAAATCTATATCAATGCATAAGAGACTTCACTTCATCAGATATTTGAGCTTTATTGAAGTCCCAGCTTGTTCAAGTAATATGAATATGTATTGGCAAACTTGTAATGCAATGACTGAGTAGTGTGCTTAAATGTGATATGTTTTATTAATTTGATAGTTAACTACAATTTGTGTAAAGAATGTCAGTATAGTTAGATATATTATGAAAGCAAGTAATATGGTTTTTATATATATATATATATATATATATATATATATATATATATATATATATATATATATATATATATATATATATATAAATTTTATTTCCATATACAATGATGAGTTATAGAATTATAGCGTTTCTATTTCACACCACTTATATACACGTATCTTAGTAACTAATATTGTTCATAACTATAGGAATTGAAACTAAGGTGTAGCATAGATGTAACTGTGATTTACATAACAATTCCTAATATAAATATTTTCGAATCAGGATTATTTTCAACTTAAAAGTATAATTTTCTGACATCTATCAAAATGTTCTTTTAAATGTTAATTAGTTTACTCATGAAAAAAGGTTTACCTTGAGTTTATAAAATCAGTTCATGTTCAATAAACTATGAAAGAGCAAAAAATTATTTGTTTAATTATTTTCTTACAGAACCCAACCCTCAATTCACATATTATATTGTTTCATTTTTTTAAATTTTTCTTGTGACACCCTTTAGTGACATTGTAATTATGATGAATCACTTAATATGCTAGGTCAACAGGTTACATTTACTTGGTTACAAAAGTATATAAAGAAAATAAATAAACTTTTTAATCATTCACACATTGAAATTCAAATGGATTTTTTCAATCTTGTACATACATTTCTTTTTCTTTTGTATATATCTAAACAATGTACATCAGTTTGTAAATTATCAAATGATTATAAATATGTAAGTATCATTTATGATAGATTCTATTAATCATTTCTAGTATCATTCAAATATTCAAGAAAGCAAAAGTAAACGAAATGTTTTTATAAAACAACTGAAAGTGATACCATACTACACAGAAACTATTAGAAAACATGCTCATTTCGAAATAATACGAGTAAGTTATTAAACTATTTCTTATCATTATTATTTGCTTTTTGAAGAGTTTGTTGATTTATTAAAATTCATATATAGATTAGAAGAAATAAGTTTATTCTATCTAACAGTTTTACTCTTGATCTCATTGAAACTACTTTGTTCTCTCGTATTTCCCAATTATTGTAGACAAAAATAATAGAACCTGCTATAAAGATGTGGCAGACACTATTAAAAGTAAAAGCAAGATCTAAACATCTAATTTATTTATCCAGGTAAATAAAACTTGTTTCTACTATTCATTATTATTTATTTACTTATTTAAACCCATGAATATTAGTACAAGAGGGCATTGAACACATATGCGCCACATAAGTCGCTTCATTTGTATGTGGACTGTGATACTGCCTGGGTGCTCAGACTGAAGCAGGTGGTTTTCTTGGAGGGCCACACCCGGAGCCTTTAACCTAAAAGTCTGATTCACAAGGCAGTGGAGCTACGTCAGGAGATGTAGTCTCGTAGTAGCTAGTGACCAACAATTGGTTCATACGCCATTTGTTCCTTCAGGATCCTGGAGCCCATGTACAACATTAGTTTCGAATCAGGGTTTTCCAACTCTCATAGGTAAACTCTCCGTGTCCACTCATTCGATTCAAATGCCGGATATTCGCTTTTTGTCCTCTCAATTTCGTAAACAGCACGCCCGCCACAAGGAGACAGTGAGTAGGACTTCCTTGGTAATGGCTGTATACGCTTGGCCATGTGAGAGCATTTCGAGGGAGGGAGAGCTGGCTATCCATATCCTTGGCCTTATCAGGGTATTTGAGGGCTACTATTCATTACTTCTTCATATTAATTTATTAAACTCTTATTTTATTTATATATATAATAATAATTTCAAGGATTGCATTAAGTGTATGCTAGTTGAATAACGGAATGTTAATAATTCAATAAAACTTATTAATATTGTTGATTTTCATTAAAGAACAGTTTAATATGAAGAAACAAAAAAACTTTGAAGATGAAAGAGAATTATGAATTACTTTTTATTTCTTCAAGTATTAGTTAGAAAAGTAGATCCATAAAAAGTTCATATCTTAAATTCGACAAACATTCCAAAGTATTTTACGAAATGTGATTACTCGAGTATTGAAAACTTGAATCCATTGGGTTATGACAAAAAAACATAATACAAATTGAAGTAATTGTGAATTGAACTGATGTAAGATAACCATAAATAATAACAAATAGCCTTACATATCTATAATTATCTTATGTTGCATTTTTAATCACCTAATGACTTATTTCGTATTAAAATCACCATGAATGTTAAACTAAGCTATAGATCGTAGTTAAAATACACAAGATTAGATGTAAGCAATACTGTTTCAAGAAGTGTCTTAGTGTTATTGATACTTTCTAAATCTATTGATATCACACCACCATTGAAAACCTGGAAGCACTCGACGGTCGTTTCGATCCCGTCTCAGTGGTTTAAAGATTAACCGTCTTCACGCGAGACCGAAGGTCCTGGGTTCGAATCCCATGGATGAGCACTGTTGAGGAGTTTTACAATATGACGAAACAGTCGTCCGGTGCTTCCAGGTTTTTAATGGTGGTATAAAATCTATCGATCATGATCCCAATCAAAATGTTAACCATCTCCACAACCCCATACTGTTAACTTTCTAAATCAGAGTAATTTATTGTTAATTACATTGTATTTTTTTGTTTTACTAAAGAAGTTGTATAAATCATTCTAAAGACGCAAAGATACTTCCTAATGGTACGCGGTTTTATTACTGTAGAGAAGGATGTAAGGAGGTATCAGAATGTTATCATGGTGTTATTCCAGAAATGTACTTAGATGTAAGTGAATTTCATTAAGTGATACAATTACTATTTGATCTAACAAAAATTGCAAACATTTCAAGCTTTCTGAAAAGAACCTATCCGTTTGTCTATTTTATTCTGAAGAATATTTGGTGTTTTTTTATCTTTTATTGTAAAATTTACAAAGAATTCACTTTATTTCGATTAGTTTTAATACTTCAAATCTATAATGATAGAAAATTTCGAACATTGATTACATCAAGATAGATATTATTATTTGCAATTTTACACTGTGAAGATTCTATTGAGCAGAAAGAAATTTTAGAAGAAATGATTCTCTGATATCGGCACAAAATTGTCATCGTTTATATGGAAGTCAAAGTGCATTTCTAAGTAAAATAAATCTGAGTAGAATAATGACAAAACAAAATAGAGAAAAATAAATTCAATCTTTAGTTTACCATAGATATTATCACTGGTATTTATTATCTATAATACAACCATCGTTCATAAAGCGATTCCTATTTGGTTTTATTATCAACCATTCAACAGCACAAACAATTTCTTTTCTAGTTTAAAGGTGATTTTCCTGAATACTCAACAAATTGCCAATGCAGCTACTTAATAATAAGAACTGAAAGCTAATCATTTAATATATAACCTATTGATAAACAAACAAACCATTAATTATATTAATAATGTGCAATGAACATTAGGGTTTATTCATGAGAACAATTTAATTTGAAATTCTTGAAATGGTTTGAGAAAATAGAGTTGTTGTCTACTGCAGGTTTCATTACTTGAAGCTCCAATTAATTATTCTCTGTAGAAGAATATATAAATCAATTATCAGATATTTTAGAAAAGCGAAATTTGTATTTTTCATTTTTATTACACTACTCACTAAATTACTTATAATTTACTATTTATAACTAGTACTGCCATACATATGTACATGGACAACCCAAAATAAGTGGACATCGTGGAAAAGGCATAAAGTTTCATCACTTATTATATATTGTTGATTCCCAGACAATTTCCCTTTGTCGAAGTGGAAACACTGTGGGTTATGCACAGTTTTGCAGGTTGGATGGACTAACAGACAGGTTAGTTGATTTAAGACAAACAAACTTGGAAGAATTATATTTGTCTGTATTGTGTTTCTTTACTAATTAGTAGAAACAAAATTTATAAACTTTATAATTAGCACAAGTTCTAGTTGTCTATGCAATATATACTGGATGTTATGACGTGAAATCAATTTTGTAAATTATGTAGTTATGGGACGGCACTTATATAATGTATGTTTGGAAATATGAATTGATTGTTTCTCACTTAATATACATTTCAAGAACCACCAAACATTTATTCAAAATACATTTATGGTTAATGTCCTAAAAAGGTGCGATGTTTGTGGAATAAGACTAAGTTCATGATTTTGTCTAATCATTCTGTCATAGGACGAATGTTATTTAAATTATAATTTTATATTTCAAACATTTAAATGTAGTCTCCAGTCAGAAATCATCTAACCTGAAAACTCCATAGGATTAAGAATAACCATAAATTGAGTTTATTCTTACTTGAAACTTCCTAAACTTATCTTGAACGAGTCACTAAACTTCCAGGTTGAAAATAATTGTTGATAGTAATGATGATTTTTAGACATGTTTTTCTTCAAAACATATGAGATGGTACAGTAAAGTTTGCACTGGTGCTGCTTTAGTCATTCAATATACTCCTTTAAATGCTGACTTTAGTGTAAGTTCTTCCTTTTCCTTCTTTATTTATTATTTCTTACACTTGGATTTTCATGGCGTTTGATATAACAGTCCTTTTTAATTTTTATTTGGTTGATTTCTTCTCTTGTTGGTGCCAGGTTCAATGTTGATGTTGACTAGCTGTTATGTTAAACTATTGACGACTGGTAACTAGATGAAGTGTAATTTACGATTTTAAACAGTTCGGTAGTAATTTCATTTGTTTCATTTTGTAGGCCAATAGCTGGCTACACAAATCTCTGCCCGAATAACATAGAACTTGGTTATGAAAAGATTAGACTGGCAATTTCAACTATGGCACACGAATTGGGCCACGTTTTGGTAATCTGCATTGATTTATTTTTAAAATAAGAATAAATATAGTTTTCTAAACTGATAACATATAAATGTGTATTTGGTCACTATTGTAACTAATCCTATATTGATGGTCAAACACATAACTAGCAATTAATGACTACCGGAACAGATATTTCAAGTTAAATCTTCAAATTTATTCATTATGTCTGAGTAGAATTTAAGAAAATTTAATCATCAATTTTGAATTATGATAACGAAATGTTATCATAGCCCCAGAGGGGCTCCAGATGAAGTTTGAACAAGTTTGAGAGATTTATCACAAATTAATACCATATCATCGTTTCTTAGGATATCGGTGCTAAGAACGTAATACTTTTATAATAGTATATTAAATTGATTTTCATTATACTAGTTAATGCTACATTTGATGATAGGCTTTTAATATGGGAACTCACATTTTTTCTAGTATTCTCTTATATTTTACTAATCCAATCAGTTTTCATTTATATTTTAAAAAGGGTTTCAACTCGGAAGCTTTCAGATATATGCGAGACGAGCGTGGTGAACCAAGAACGATGCGTGAACCTGCTACGAATGAGCCTATTTTAACGGATTCACTAGGATACAGAATTCCAGAGTGAGAAATAATTGTTTTGATGTGAAATATGGGTTATTAAAACTTCATTATTCCGTTTAGTTTGAAATGATAAATTTAACAGAATCTCCTATTTTAGAGTGTCATCCATCGAACTATAATTTGATCTAATCAGCTTGACTTCTTAACAAACTGAAGTTGAAATTTTGTGTGAATTTTTCTAAAATTTTTATATTGCCTATGATCTTCCACAATAGACACAGCAAATAAAAATAATATTCTATTACATAATGAATCCTATAAAGTACAGTTAATTTAGATGAACGGTCACACTAACGCGAGTTATAACTAAGAACAAAAAAATAATATTGAACTATCCTAGATTCATACTTTGTTTTGTTAACTAGATAAAAAACAAACATGTTTGACAACTATTATCATCCATAAGGTTAATCTGTATGGTAATATATATACACATTCCCAGTAAACCACGTGTTAAAATTATTATCTAGACATATCCTAGGTAAATTAAATTAAAAGCCATATTACTTTATAGTAAGGCTTACTGCTCATCCAATCATTAAGACAATGTAGTAGTTAAGATACATATAGTATAGATGTTTTGTTAAGTCTAACTATGCTTCTTATTTCACTCTCAAAGATACAAAATTACTGCGACATCATATGGCCTTGATGAACTGTATGATCTTGAAAAAAGTGTTTAAAAGTTGTAGTAATTGATCCAAATGTCATCGTAAACGAAATATTTTTGTATTATTGTTTTGAAACGTTTAGCGAATCAGTTTTAAGCAATGTTACTCGTATTTGGAAGTCTGCTAAAACAACAGTTTACCGCCATTTGACTGCGCTTAAAACACCAATGATGCTGGTGAGTTTGTTTTTAATTGCATATATAAACGTCTGCTATGTTTAAGAAATTGAGTAACGTTAATTTTATGTCGAGTGCTTAAAAATAGTCTTGAATGGTAGAGATAATGTTGAACAAATTAACGGTTTACGGACGTATTTGAACTAATTATCTATGTGCTACCAGCTTACTAAGTCTTGATCCTCACATGATGACTTGATTTACACTTTATTTCAGTTGACAATTTTCTAATATCTTTTCTTGTGAAGGAGAGGTTATCATATAAGCTCCTTTTATCAGACTAATTTTCAATATGAGTTGCCAATCACTAACGATAATCGTGCGAAATTGAAATCTGGTTATTACTTGAATCTTTTAGTTCAGTTTGTAGAGGAGAGGATGAATACAGGGAAGGCTATAGAAACGCAGATTTCATTTTGCTTCCATCTTCTTTGTCAGTTATAACAATTCGAAACTGAAGAGGCATCCGAAACACATCTTGCTAACTAATAGAAACAGAATACACCTTTGGTTTAATGATGTTGTAGATGAGATAGTATTGGACAGATAATTACAGTCACTAGATTGTTCATCTAATAATACCAATTATTATGTGAAAAACAAACTGAATTATATTGATTTTCTGAGGAGTTTATGAATGTTTCTGTTTCTTGCGAGTAAAATATGCTAACATAGATATTTTGAATTGGCTTTAACTGAATCTGACTAATAAGGATAAAACAGACATTCAGGTTTGTTGTTTGTTCAGAAAGCTATCATAAAACTAATAAATAAATCGGATTTAAAAGTAACGGTAACGATTAAAATCAATCAATCAATCATTCAAACATATTTGTGTCATCCGATTAAATACGTAATGTCAAAAAGCTTAAAAAACTCATTTCATTTAGTGTGACAGATTCTTAGTAAATATGGATGAATTACAAATATACTTTTGATTGGATAAGAATAGGATGTGAGCATTTTTAATTGTTCTCGTGTGCAGTCTAAATGCTAAATTGGTAAGTTGAAAAAGAAAGATGACGGAATGTGTAGATTTTCTAATGGTTTTAGTAATCATAAGGTAACAGATAGTTTTTAGAATGTTTTCTATAATGGTTACTAACAAAAATTCTGTCTTTTAAAATCCATTCACAGTGGTGAACCTCTAAAATGCAATGCTACATCTAGCAGTATGTGTACAAAGCCTATACTTAGGTACACAACTTCGTGTATAGTTGTTTCTATTCTATGATCTGAGAATTCTCACACTTTGCGTACGCTGTTTTACACAGATGATACATGAAATATTGTTCACCAGATCTCAAGAACTTTCTTTCTTAACTGTTACCAATTACTGGAGATGTGACTGAGTCATCGGACGCTAGTTAGACTTAGGAAAGATATCATTTTTTTATTTTTACTGAGTGACCAGTTCTTATGTTATAAACATAATTAGATTATAACAGTTTGTCTTGAACTGTGTATAAAACTTAATGTAACCTTATTGTAGAACCCTATCTGAGATGATAGGTTTTAGAAATGTTTCATCACTGGTTATAACTTTTATTTTCTTGTAATTGGCAGCAAACTCATGTACTAAAAATAAGCAATCATGTTCCATTTATTATGATGACATCTCGAAATTACGAGTATAATGTTGGATAAGATCGTTTTAAGAATATATCATAAAATTTATTTCATATCAGATTCGTTTTGAACAAGTGAAAAGTACAACAGCCATTTTAGTGTGTTTACTTTAAGTAAGTGTAAATAATTTATGCCCAGATTTTTTCCACCAACAAAGTTTTTGACGTCTTGAATAACTAATCTGTGTGATCCGAAGATATTCTAAGCGGGGAAATTCCCATGTACCAAACCTAAGTTTTAAATAGACCTAAATATTTCGAAGATGTAGTTACATATTTCACTGTTATTAAGATAAATATCCTTTAAGAACAAACAATACGGTACAGTTTATTTTTTAAAACTTAGATAATTTATGAGCTGATATACACCATTAGGAAATTAAAATTGTTGGATTACTTCTTGTTTCAGAACATTTAGCGATATATTTTCTTTCTTATTTGAAAAACTGCTTACTCGCGATTTCAAAGAGTTCAATTTGTGAATCTCCGATGGTTTACCAGTCTTATTTTCACGTGGTGTTGTTTTACTTGTATCTTCCCATTGTTATTTAGGATTGGAATTGATCATTCTCATGTTGTCATATGTGAATCCTGTGAGAATTGCCTCGATATAGCCAGGGTGAACATCAACTCTGGGATGCAGGTGCATCCAACTGACGAGTCCCAAAGAGGACAAAACGCGCGTCCTGGATTCCACTGCTAGCCACTATCCATCTTTGCTTACTAGTCTTACGTTGATAATAAGATTATAACATATTATGAATTAATATATGCATAACGGTGTGTCATTTATTTATTGTTAAGAAGTAACTGACGGTAAAATATCTTTTCCGAACCATTTTAAACTTAGAAAATGGCGAAAGAATACTTCAACTGTCACGAACTTGACGGTGTTGAACTTGATAACAACGATCAAGTGTATGCTAGAGGTCATCTTGAAAAAAGGCTAATTGATGTGAGTGCTTTGTGTGTAGCTTGATTTTTATATCATTATTTTATGAAAATATTTCTGATTTTTTAACAGGTGACAATAAAATAACACCATAATCATATGATCACCAGTGATTAGTTTGAAGAGAGGATTGCCTGAACGTTTGTGTGAAGCTATAACCAACGAAGTTTAATCACATGGAATGTAAAATAGTTTCCATCAGCTACACTGAAAAATGATCAACGATAAACAGATTGAAGTTAAACATTTAAACTACCGAATACCGATTCAGTGGTCTAATGTTTAAGCTCTCCCTGTGGGACCTGAGTGTCCTAAGTTCAATCTCCAACAGAGTTGTGGGTATGCACTGCTGAGTAGTCCCTTGAATGTGATAACAACTTAATACTCCTTGATTTTCACTGAATATTTGATAAAAAGTCAATCAGTGATTTAAAATGCAAAGCATGGCAAATAGTGGTCATAACAACAGTATCACCTAGTGAGTCTAAAATTATAGAAAGTAGTGCTGAAGGGTAGCTTCAGTTGTCTTCCCTACTTTATTCAATCTATTTGATTTCTGCATAAAATTTCGTCTTGATTATCAATATTTAATAAGCTATTATTTATTCTGCTATTTAATTGGCGTTCTACTGATCTTTAGTAGATTAACAAATGAACTCAAACTTGTGCTACTCTAAATAATAAATACATAAATTGATCAAAATGTATACAAATATTGGTTTTGAAGAACCTATCTAGTCCTCTTCAATCTACTCTTCCTTTTTACCAGTACAATTACCTCCCCTTCCTTCCATTCGTCAGAGTAGTACTAGAAGCCTTTAAAAGTTAGGAAATTAAACTCTTTGGTTGTTCTATGTTTTTCTACAGTCGTCCAAACAGATGGTTGATTTAGATCCAGTTTTTCAGTCACGAGTGACCGCACTTATTCACTGTTTGGATTGACACAGGAAGTTTATGACTGTCATGAATTCGGACCATCATTGCAAGATTCAAGTCTCCTAATGAAAAGCGTGACCCACTTAAATATAGGTGTTATCTTCAATTCTATGTTTAAACGAATAAACTTCAAAACTTTACGAATTTCTGAACTGTAGATTCAAGAAAGTATCAAATTAATAATATAACTTTTCTATATACAGAATGAATTAATGACTCCTCTCCTTTCATCACGTTCATATATATCGAAAATCACACTTGGATTTTTCGAAGACACTGGGTAGGTCTAAAATTTTGATTTTACATTTAAATAATATATGCTAAATCTTGGATTTTCAGATGCCTTAAGAGCTATAAGTTAAGTATTTTTTCATAACACTAGTTAAAAATTTGAGAAAACAGTAAATGCTGCTTGTATTTACTAGTCTGAACTATGAATTTAGGCAACTGAAATATAGATTTCAGAATTTTATGTTCTCAGTGTCATAAATACCCCTCTCTCAAGCAAACAACAGGAATTAGAATATTATCCACAGTAATTTTTAATCTATGAAACGAATTATCATAAATTCGGTCTCTTTAAATTAGTAATTTCATAAGCCCCATGGATGGTTCACTAATTACGTGAACCAATCTACAAAAGTTATTATCTCCAAATGTATTTAAGCAAACTTTCAATCGTATTGGACTAAAACGGCTACACACTGAATCAGTTTGAATTAAGCGGACTGTTTGCATACAGCTATTCTAATCCATGAAAACGTTAACTTACTTACAACTATGGGAGTTACTGATAATTTCGATTATTTGCTATACCTTCCATTACTACGAATGTATCCATGTTTCTAGCCCGTAATTCGATCACCATACTAAATAACTTATCCTATACTTTAGGATTCGCTTCATAGAATTTTATTTGTTTTCAAAATGCGAAATGGTCATATGACGAAGAAATGTGAAGTTTTCTTTTTACTAAAAAGTTACTAAAGGTTAAATACTAGTAATATTACTTTTGAGAATGTTTTGAGCCTACTCAATTCCCAATGAAATGCTAAAGTCAATTTAATATTTTTATCAGTATGGGGTTATGGAGATTATTAAGTTATTGATTGAGATCTTGAACAGATTGATGTTAGACCGATTTTCTCGTTTTCATTCCATGAATGTTGAATAAACTTAATACTTTCAGCTCCTTTACATTTTCGTTGTGTTACTTTCAAAGATACATTACTTTAATTTCGTAATCATTTCTTTATTAACTTAGATGGTACCGTGTGGATTATTCAAAAGCTAATCCAATGGGATATGGTAAATATCTTGGTTGTAATTTCGTTATGAAAAGTTGTTATGAGTATATGCAAATTCAACGAGAAAGGTAATAAACTTATTTTTGAATGCAATCTTTTATGTAAGACGATTGTATAACTGATATAATGTGTTTATTTTAAATATTTCACTAGTACACTATTAGTTCAAAAGTAATGGCTTTTATCCATTACTGAGTCGTTTTAATTGTTTGAACAGTATTTATTTGAGGAAGGCAAGTGCTGTAAGTAACAAAATATACGTTATAAAAACCAACATACCTTACGGTTGTTCTTTTTCACTGTCATGCTCGAAAGTGTTGAAAAATCCGTTTTTATATCGATGCTAAACTAATAGCACCGAGAAATCTTTGTTCATTTTCTGATCGAGCAAGTCCGAAAAATTTTGAGGTAACACAGGCGTTCACTAAATAATCAACCGAAAAGTTTTCTTTCATTTTAAAAATAGGTTTAACTAAAGGTACTTCAATAATACAGCGAATGCTATAACAAATGCTAAATTGTTACATGAACTAAACAGCATGTGAATTATTGGTAATCTACTATAACTGTTTGTTTTTATGATTTCGACACATTAAAAAGGTACAATTTTAAATTTTTATTCTTTTAGAAGACAAAGTTTTTACCCATACTGTGATCAAATAAGCTTCAGTAACACTCTCTGTCTAAAGCATGAAAATGCATATGGTTTCTGCGATCTGAAGCAATATTATTCGCCTCTGCCACTTGAATTTCAGTACTTTGATAATCCAAGACTTGGTGCAGCTGACCGTTACCGAGATTATTGTCCAGCCTATGTGGTTAAGTGATTTATATTCTTAATTATCATCATAATAAAATAACTGTTTCTAACGTTTGGGTATAGTACTTACACATACCTTCAATACAAGCTATTAATTTAGATGTAAGGTCAGAACTGCTGGTATCATAGCACTATTTATTCCTCATCTTCGTTAGAAAGGATCCTTGGAACCCAGTGAGACAAGGAACATTTTCCCATTTTTAGTTTCTAGTTGCAGACCTGGATAATATCAAAACAACCATAGTAAGGCGTTTGGTCGAGTTAGTAAAAAACATACTGATTTAAAATACTTCATAAAAAGAATTCTCAAATAGAGACTATTCATCTCCGAATCATCCTCTATATAATGGGATTTACTAAGTTAAAACTAGTCTGCTTAAGCAAAGTATAAACATTGAATTGAGTAAATTTACTTTGTACTTAAGATCTGAAATACTTAAATATCAGGATTAAAAATACTGTTGGTCAATAGCCAATGTGAGCACTTATTGGCAGAGCGTAAGAATAGATTGAATAGAATGTTACAATTAATACAATATTCAAACAAAACGTCTGAAGAATCAGCTTGAATAGCAATAAGACTACTGAGAACAGCCAAAGAAACATTGGGGTTTCACGAACATTCATTGTTACATTTTCGAAAATTGAAAATGAAAATAATAAATGAGGTTACTGTCAAAATGACAGCCATTTGTTCATATTAACTTGAAGATGGTAATGTGGTGTATGCTACTCACATTGACATAAGTAGTATATGATGTTAGTCGTGAACAGAACGTCTGGCAGCAGAGAGACAAGAGGATCGAACAGTAAAGAATCGAAACGGAATGCAATGAAAATGCAAGAACAATGAAGTCTGAGTCATTTTGAGATAAGTGATGGACATTTTACAAATTAAGCATTTACTTTATGATTGTTAGATTTTATTAACAAGTCCTGTAATTGTTTGTTAAATACATTCGATTGTCCCCACTGGTGTTCCTGTTTACTATAGTAGCACTTCTAAGACAGGCAATAGAACGATGAACAAAACTTTAACCAAAGTCTGTAATAAGGCATTTTTTCTGGAATTTTAGCCATTTACTGGGACGAGAAATATTTATTCATACTGCAATACTCCCGAAAAACAGTCTGAAGTTCGTAAGTTATAATAAATTATCGTGTTTGATATGTTAAAGACTAATAACAAAAACTATACATACTGTGTAGTTGACGAACTTATTTTTAGTGAAATTTCAGAATTTTCAATATTTTCTAGTTTTACATTAGTTTCGACACATTAACAAGTAAAGCGGTTATTATATCGATTAACTTTGAACCACTTATTTGAGTTATAGCTAGAAACTTTTTACTTGAAGATAGTTTTTATTAAAAATGAAAATGATGATCACTTAAAACTATGGAGAATAAGAAAAGTATTTCACTGTAATTTAAGACCTACCAGCACAACTCTAGACCCATAACTTAAATATTTTGCTTTAGGCACTGAATTCTAATTTAATGATCTCTATATTCAGTGGGACTTATTTTAAAGTGTACCAGTATTCTGGTCCATTGTTAATTATTAATTACTGTCTCTTTTGATGAAGATCACTCTTACAAATCCTTTCTCATTTGAACTCCGAAAAATCAATATGAAAGCTGGCTAATAGTGAGCATATGATAATAACTCTAGTTTTGTGAAGACAATGTCATGTAAATATGATCTTAAAACTTAATATTAAAAAAATCGTTATGTATCAAACTCAATAAAATAAAAGTTAGTATTAAACTTACAAATCATCACTAAGATTCTATCACTTTGAGAATAGAGAGTCGTTTCATAATATAGTAAGACAAATCTCTACCATTTCATTTTACTTTCTGTAACAATATAAATCCTGCATTAAATTGAAAATCTAATCCATATTTATTATGAATGATGCAAATTGTTTTGGATTTCTTTTAAAGACGAAAACAAAAACTACATGCTTCATTACTTTGGTAAATCTTCTATGTGCATAAACCATGACAGTACCAGACACTGGCAAGTGTCTAATCAACATGAAATTTTTGAGGAAACTTCACCCAAATCTTCATGCATGAGTGTAAGTATTAAATTATACAGATAAAATATGATTATTGCAAAAGAAAGTAACTTTTTTTTCTTAATTTCTTCCAAAAAACATCCTGACTTGTTTCTGTTTTGTTCCTTTGATGAATATCTAATTGGTTGATTTTGTATGAACATACATTTTGGTTTAGAAATTATATACTATTTTTTAAAATCAGGTTTTGTGATTATTAACGGGATAAAAATAAAGGGACACTATTGTTTGCTTTTTTTTTAATTTAACGACTAAACTACAAAGAATTTTATTTGTAAAAGATGTATTGTATTTCTTCATTTTATACTGGAAAAACCAAAAAAAACATTGAGATCAATATAGAATGCAGCTATTCATTTTGACATATCATGAATGAATACAAAATTTAATAGTTGATGAAGCATCTCTCTTCAAAATGTTTTGTTGAATTTTCCAATGCGCTATCTTTAATACCATCCATTAGGTTATCTAACAGAAGTGATTCATAAGTTATTCAATCTTTGGTTAGATTTGCCAAATGTTTGAAATCATTTTATTATAAATGTGTTATAAATCTTGTTCAACTGTAAACTGTTTTACAAAGTTATTTAGATATGGACATGTAACTATTTCCTATACACATTATAATGTACATTATCTTGTACAAATGCAGTTAATAAAATTCATGCTTTCAATCAAATATATTAACCGGTTATTAGGTATCCTTACTAAAATTTGACTTGATAATTTCGAATAAATCGAGCATTCAGTAGATTGTTATAAATGAATTAATAAATTTGTACTATCCCAATAGGTAAAAAAATTAGATTTTCTGACGTTTCGCGACTCGGTGTAAGCCACTTCTTCAGAGAGTGAATAACCAAATAGAAATCCTTCCAAGCTACTATTTATTACCTGAAGAAGTGACTTACGCTAAGTTACGAAACGTTGGAAAATCTAATTTTTTTACTCATTGGGATATTAAAAATATATTAATTTATTTATATTAAACGGTTACTTTTTCAAAAGAAAATGCAATTGATTTCTGTTTATACACTTCATGCCATAAAAAAATGTTTTGTATAATTAAAATAACCCATAGTGTCATTGAATAAGAAAAAGAGAATTCAGCTAGGAAAATTTTCTTTTCGACGGAATCATTTACTTAAGCTGTAGATTCGATTATACATTGTTATCTGGAAAATATATATCTATAGGGGGTTAAAAAAGATTACATCATTAATTGATTCCAGACTAAATCACAAATGTGGTTACGTACTAATCAAGGGGTTAGGAGGAAAAGCGTTTATGGGTCAGACAATAGTCCAATTGACCGATACAAAGAAAAACGACAAACATATAAGTCATAATAATAAAAAGTGAATAATAATCGAGAAAACTTGTTTAAAAGTAATAATAATAACTGGAGTTTAAAATTACAAAACAATAATTTAAAAATTAAAAAAATTCATTGATAATCAAATACAAGTGCAGAGAAAAATACAGAAGAAAAAAGCCCAAAACATGCCCATTATGGGAACTAAGGCCAAGGAAAGATAAGAGGTTGGACGAATTGTTTCTGCACGGAAAGTTCAGGCTTTAGTTCATTGATTGTTCATGCTTCAGCAGTGCATAAAATATTGATTCGACACCCTTTTGATTCAGTTACTTTAAAAGAAGACTCTTTTGGTACGATGTATTCACAGTCAATTAAATACTCCTGTATAAAACTAGTAATTGTTTTACATTCTCCCTTTAAAGCCAATCCAGATAGTGTTCCGTGATGTGTTTGGACAGTGATCGCTTTGTGCAGCCTATGTAACGTGCCCCACATGAGCGGGAGTTTGTCCTTAACACATCCTAGAATATTAGGCCGGCTAGAGAAAACAATTCGGAGCTTGGTTGCGTAGAACGTTTTATTCAACGATTTTGAAATCTGTTTATTTAAGATTTCAGCAGCCGTGTCTTCCTTAAATTCCATATTCATAGTGTTTTGTATTATTTTCTAAAAATGAATATCATACTTCCTTACAAACTTACATGAATCACCAATTAATTTATATGTTATATGGTTTATTTACTTTTCTCTTACATAGCATATATGTTCTGAGATTGAGGGATTGATTTTGATTCTTGAAAATAAAGAACTCGTTTGTCCTATTAAAGGTAAATACATTGATTTCAGTCTAAGAGGAAAGTACTTCGATATTAACGGTTCAATCATTTGTCCACCATGTAGAGATATTTGCAAAGTACGTTGTTTTAAATTTTTAATTTTATCGTATAACAAATGATAACTAATACAAATAAACATGTACAAAAATACCATTTTAAATACGTTTCTTAGTCCACAATCTCAGTTATTCGAATCTCGTAAATTAATTTGTAGAACACGAAAATATATGGAATTGATTGAATGAAAGATATCGCTATTCAAGAATTATGTTTATTATACAAAACAGTTAAAGCAAATATATTTAATTAACAAGTGGCAAATCTGTACCCGGCGAAAAATGCATTTTTTAACTGACCACTGGATATAAATATTTTTTCGTGTGAACCTGAGTTGATACAATTTTGATATTATCCAATTCTTTATGACGTTATAACAATGTAATCTAGATGGTTACTGATATGTATTCAAAATCTCCTTCAATTAAATATCTATCATTCAATATTGCACTACATGTAGGAAGTATTACATGAAAGTGAATTTTCCCAAACTAAACACTTTTTTGTAGGATTCAATGGTCTATGGAGTTTAAAAGATACCAGTAATTGAACAGATGTCATAGCTGATCTTTATGTCATATAGCAAATGCTTTGAAGTAGAAAGTTTGAAGCATTGACCAAGCGTCCCACTGAAAGTGTGCAAGATGAAAACTGACTTTTAAACGGCGATTATTTCATAAAATAAAATATAGATTATAAATTTTACTTC